GTAGTAGCCGCGGAAGCCGTCCGGGCTCCGCAGGCTCTCGAGCTCGTACTCGGAAAGGGGGGTGCAGGCGTAGTTATGGCGGGGCCGGCGGGGCCGGCCCGGCCCCGCGGCCCCGCCGCCGCCGCCCTCGTCTTCGCCGTCCCCGGGCGAGGGCAGGATGTAGTGCTCGAAAAAAATGCGGCAGTCGCGGTGCAGCTGGTCCAGAATCGACTTCTGGATGTAGGGGTGCTGGATGTAGCAGTAGCCGTGGGACTGCAGGGACTCGAGCAGGGCGTTGCTGGCGGACTCCGTCACGTTCCCCGCGCCCCGCCCGATCTTGACGAGGGTGCCCCAACGAAGGGCGGTGCTCCGTAGCATGTTGCTTTTTATGGGTTAAAAAATATATATTTTGGGGGAGAAATAAGGATGGAAAGAGCCGCAAATCATGGAGATGATAAGGGAATCCTGACAAGACACCACACTGTTACAAGAGTTTAAAAAGGGGTCGGAAGGAATCCGGGATGGTTGCCTTATTAAGTTTTTTTTAAACGATGTTGTTTAGAAGGCGATGACATGGGTGTCTTTCTTGCCTTGTGAACAAAACCCGAAGGAAAGCATGGAAGGAAGGCTAAAGTGCCTCCATCACTAGTTGAAATCAGCGAAAGGCTTTTATGATTGTTCTTCGTTTTTCTTTCTGTTAAAGAGTGTGAAGACAGATTGGATGATGCTCTAGGCTGTTTGTTTTTCACAACCCAACATCGCATCCATAGAAACTAAATGATTTCAATACGCCATAGTTCCATATTTTTCGGCAATTATTGACAAATAAAGTTGGATAAATTCAATGGCGTGTGTTCACTAAACGTAAAACAAAGATATAATGAATCTATGCAAATACCTATAGTATTGCTTTATTCGCCCGACGCACATCCCATTTCATTGTGGATAGTGCTTCTCCATATTTCAGACCAGATGCAGTGTTGTGCTTGTCTTTTCAGATGTCATTCGCTTGCTGCGAGAGCCCGATAATGGGAAAAGGAATGATCGCACGCTGGGATGCGAAGAAATACGACCTATTCATTTCTTCATTATTCGAGTTCACGGAGGACTCTCATCATTGTCATTTTTCTTTTGAATAATGGGACCTTTCTTTGGTACTAATTACTTTTAGGAAAAAAAACATGAGTAAACCCCCAAGGGAGGAAAAAAGTGGAATAATTTTTATTAAGAGTGTCAATCCAAACCACAAGGATCTGGGTGCGTTTACGCATATGTGCGGACAGAAATCATTTACTATGTTTTATTGACATTGGAATTTCAGTACATGGTTGTAAAAAAAAACACGTAGAGTATATTACATGAGTACATAAAGAAAGAAGTCGCAATTACCTTGTAAAGGAATGTCCAATTACCTACTGGATACATCATTTTAGCGGTAATTTTCCTTTATTTCCATTTCATGCATCTAAGGAATGGTAATGTTCCCTCTTCACAACAAACGACGTTCGTATATGTTCCTAAAAACGTTACGTAGGACAACGCTTCATGGTATCCCAATCTTGTTAAAGCAAACAAGGAAAAATAAAGGAGGGGGGTCATAATAGTATATAGCGAATTCTGGCTACAAGACAAGCGAGTAAAAGTACAACCTGATAGGACATTATAAAAAAAAAAAAAGCGTGGACGGAGTATCGGAATCGAGTGAACACGACCTTCGTTTCTTCCTCTTCCTCCTTCTCCCCCCCCCCCTCCAAAAAAAAAAAGATTCGTAGTTCTGTTCTTATTGGCAGCGCGGTTAATCGACACTGCCAAGAAGGCAGACACCGTGCATACGCCAGTACGCGTCGTCCTCGGCGACGGGCAGCATCACGTCGAAGATCCAATTAATATCGGAGCGGGTGGGGTATTTATAGACCGGGCATCGATAGTACTCCTGCTTGACCTTCTTCTCCTTGACCGCCCCGACGCCCGGTTTGAGTGGGATGGGCTGCTGAGGAGGGGGGGCGTCTTTGTTGATGGCCGAGATCAACAACATCGGGAGCTCGCGGAAGAGGTCGCCGGGGAGCGGGTCCTTCAGCCGGCGGTTGGTTTTATCCCAAATCGCGCCTTCGAGATAGAGGCCGTGGATCACCACCTCCCCTCGCTCCGTGCGGAGGTCCTCCGGTTTGTTTTCCTGCCCGGGGCGATACTCGGAGGAGCGGACCTCCGTGCGGGTCTCGACCTTGTCGAGGGCCCACGGCACGGCCTCATTGCTATGGCTCCGCGTGATTTCCTGCCGGACGGAGGTCAAAAACCCCTGGGGGTTAAAAAACCCCGCGAGCCAATACACCGGGGGCCGCCCCACGCAGGCCCAGTTATTCAACTGCTCGTAGCGCTGGACGACTTCCTTAATCCAGAGCGCGATATTCGGCGAGGGCCACCCCACCGCCACCCACAACGGCGGAACGCGGGCGTCGTAGAGGTTATCCAAGGCGTCCTGCAGGGCCGGGGTCAGGATGATCGTCCCCGCGACGGCCAGCTTGAGGTCCTGGCAGGTCCGCCGGACGGTTTGGATGGTTTTCAAGAGCCGGTCGATTTCCTGCCCGGCGAAGATGGACAAGGGCTGGCGATCGCTCAGATGCGGCCCCCGATCCACCGCCCAGGCCGAGGGGAGGAGTTTGAGGTACTGGTCGGCCATCGCGAGGACTTTGTCCTCGCGGGTGATGCCGCCGGTGGTGGCGGCCCCGCGCGGCTGGACGTCGAGGATGGTCGCCAGCACCTCCTGCGCCTGCCGCGTGCGGTAGGTGATGTCCTGGTTGGAGTGCATCTGAAAGACCTCCGGGGTGTCGATGTCGGGGTAGGTCTCGCGAATAAACTCGCGATGTTTGTTGATATCGTCAAACAAGGGAATGCCATAGCCGGGGTAGAACTCCGTGAGGTCCTTGCCGTCTTTGCAGCGGTCCGGGTTGGTGATGTGGAGGTCGTAGAGGAATTCGGTGATAGCCTTGAAGAGCGCGCGGTCGCTGTTGTCGGTGATGCGGCCGCCGTATTGGATGTCGGAGACCATATAGCAGACGGTATCGCGGTTGACCGGATTGCGCATCTGCTCGCCGATGGTCGTCATGTGGTTGATCAAAAACTGCACGGAGGCCGTCCAATCGCCCTGGTTGAACTCGTAGGGGACGCTGAAGCCGATCGGCCCGAACTTCCGCCGCTCCACCACGAGCGAATGCAGGAAACACTGCGTGAAGAGCATCGGCCGCCATTCCGGCCGGCGGAACATCTCGAGATAGTCCTGGGACATCCACGAATAGGTCCGAATCAGCCCGGCTTTGATCCCTTGGGGGGGCTCATTGGTGAGTTTGATGGACATCTGCAAAAGCCCAATCGGCACCGAGTTGTGCGGCTCCGACGTAATCCACAAACGCGCCTCCTCGTGGATCTCCGGCTTCTTCTCCCCGGGCTGCGCCGGCATCAACTGCAGGCGAAGTTTCTCCTCCAGCTGCGTTAAAAACGGCAGGCCGAGATGGCAATTCTGCAAAAGCGCCCAATCCCCGTTGGTCCAGGCCATACTCACAATATTCATCGCCGCGGCCTCCTGGCCCTGGCCCATGGAGATGGGGTAGACCTTCTTTTTGAGCTTTTTCGCGGAGGCCTCGATCAGCGTCGTCGGGTCGGAGCCCTGGGAGAGCAGGAAGAAGATCGGGGTGACCCCGGTGGTCTCGTCGACCACGTCCAACAACTCCAGCAGCTGCGGCTCCGCGAAGTCCTTGCCGAGGATCTGCGAGACGTACTGCGTGGCCGCGAGCATCGTGCGATCCTCGCGCAGCACGCGCACCAGCACCAGACGCTCAAAGGCGTCGATCTTGTCGTTGAGGTCGGGCACCACCTGGGCCTCGATCGACTCCGACTCGATGAATTGCCGCCATTGCTGCTCATTGCGAATAATCAGGTCGGGAAGCTGTTTAAAGGCGCGCGGGACCTGCTGGGAGACGGCGTTGATGTTCGCCCAGACCTTATCCTTAATCCAGCCAAACGGCTTCGCGCGGTCCACCTGCATCGCGCCGCCGCCCTTCAAAAAGACCTCGAAGGCCGCGTTGTCGAGGCGCCCGGCCTTGATTTCGATCTTGCAGGCCATCAACAGCACAAAAAGCAGCCGATGCTTCGAAAAGAGCATGCGAATGATGTACTTAAAAACGGCCTGCATAAGATAGTCGATGATGATGGCGATCCGCTTCGTGGTCAGGGCGTGGTGGTCGGACTTGACGATGGAATTGTCAAAGACGCCGTTGAATTGGACGAGGGAGGTTTGGTACATATTACTCACCAGGGACATTTGGACCACCAAGAAGTACAACACGGCGCCGCGGCAGGCGACGGAGCGGTATTCCTCGCAGGCCCCGGCGATTCGCTTTTTCGTTTCGAAGGCCGTCGCGAGCTTCTCCGCGATGTCGGCCGAGGCGTCTTTGGTCTCCTGGAGGGTACTAATCAGGTCCACGTCGTCGATAAGGTTGCCCTGGGACTCGCTGAGCTGCTTGAGCAGGCGGTCCTCGAGGTTTTTACGGCGCTTTTCGTTGCTGTTGATGTCCTCGTTCAACTTCGCGCTTTCCTCGTTGAGCTCGGCCTTCTCGCGGCCGATCACGTGGGAAAGCAGCTGCTGCTCCAGCCCCTCCATCGTGACGGTGAAGTCGATCACGAGGCATTTCGCGAACAGTTCGGGCGTGAAGTTCGGATTCGGTAGTTTGGTCGCCATGAACATCGTGAATTTGTCGTTGTAGGTCATCTCCTCGCCGTTGATGCGGATGATTTGCATCTTGCCGCTCCGCGCGATCTGCTTTTCCAGCACCGGGTCGATCATCGGGTCGATCTCCTCCGGGATGTTTTCGATAAGCAGCGCCCCGCCCTTATCCATCAACTCCTGCAGGTGATTGGAGAAGCCCCGGTCGGCCATCTGGACGAGTTTGTTCAATTGCGATTCCGTTCGCTTGCGGATCCAATTCAGGGCCTGCCCTTGGGGGTCAATCATGAGCGGAAATTTCGAGCTGGTGGTGATCATAATCGCGTTTTGCACGGAATGGCTATCCGCCGGGAGGCCCTCGAGCTGCCAGTCCGAGATGGTGGTCTCGTCGACGAGAAACTTCACAATGTTGATCTCCGGCGTCACCGGGATCTCCAGTTGCTTGCACTTGGGGTAGAAACACTCGTACAGCAGCTGGGTGCGGAATTCCGAGTTGAAGGGCCCGCAATAGCTGATAAACGCGCAGCTCAGGGCGACATCCCCGACCAGGCGGGTGATGAGGGTTTTGAACTCATTGCTTTGCTGTGTCCAGCGCTCGCGCTCGCCGGACAGGGCGTCGATCAGGCCATTCGCGCTGTCCATGCGCTGTTTGGTCCGCATCGCGTCGTCCTCGAGGGCCTTCTTTTTCGAATTTTCGGTCATCAGTTGGGCGTTGAACTCGCGGACCTCGGCGGTCACCCGGGCGAGCTCCTGCTCCTGCTCCTCCTTCTTCTTGTTGGCCCCGCGGAGTTTGATCGTGGCGATGCGCAGGGCCTCCTTCTTCGGCGCCACGATCTTCGCGATGTTGATGTACTTGTACATGCTGCTCACCCACGTGCAGAGCCCGGCGACGTTCCCGCAGGCCTTCCGCGCCGCGTCCGCGGTGAAGCCCTCCATCCACAGGTAGGGCAGGAGGAGCTCGCAGGTCTCCTCGTTGATGTTGTCCTTTCGGGTTTGACCGAAGTCTTTGAGGAGATCCAAGGTCGACGTGTCCGAGGCGAGTTGGCGGCCGCTGAAGTCCCACGAGTCGTTAATCCACAAGGAGCCTTTGACCATCTCGCAGCCCGGGACGAGCAGGGGGCGGTGCAGCAGCACCGAGACTGCGTCGAAGATGCGCTTAATCAGCGCCGGCGGGTTCGCCAACTTCTTCAACATCACAAAATCCTGCGAGGTGATGGAGTTGAGGGACTCGATGGCCTCGAGGAGGGCGGGCTCGGCCGCCTCGAGGTCTTTCTTGGCCTCGGCCTCCCCCTGCGCGACGATCGCGGCGTCGTTCGCGACGCTCTCCTTGACGATCTCCACCTCGGCCCGCTTCTTCTCCGCCTCGGCGGTGTGGATCTCGATCTCCTTCACGAGGACCTCCGTCTCCTTTCGCTTATTGCTCAACAGCAACTCCTTCTCCTGGAGCTGCGTTCGCATCACCCGGACGTCCTCCGCGGCCTGATGGAGTTTCTTCAGCCCGCTGTTGATCTTCATCGCCTCCTCGTTCAATTCGCAGTACTTCTTTTCATAGACCGTCGTGAAGGAGTCGATGAAGCTCAGGTAGGACTTCGGCGTGCTGTAGACGGAGCGGCGGTAGCGGAGAAGATACTCCTCGGAGCGCTCGAGCATCAGGGTGTGGATCTCCGCCATCAGCTCCACCAGCGCCGTTTTGGTTTTGGGGTCCGTCGCCGCGTTGAAGTTTTTGATCGTTCGCGAGGAGACATCCAACAAGGCCTGCTTGGGCCAGGGGAAGAACCAATTAATCACGCAGCTCGAGACGAGCGCGGGGAATTTGCGCGCCCGGGTGCGAAACCGCTCCCCCACGGGCGAAAAACACAGCACGAAATGAAGCCGCTCCCGCACGCGGTTGATGAAGTACTTCCACAAGCTCTCGCTCATGTCCTCGAACTTGGCGTACGGGTCTTTTTTCATAATCCCGCGAATCTCGTTGATGGCGGAGTCGCGCTGGTCACTCGCGAAGAGCCCGGCGATCTCGCCATTGGAGAGGAAGGAGTTGATGTACTCGAGAAAGATCTCCTGCTTGATGTCGTTGTCGGTGAAGAGCATCATCACAGGGCGCCGCGTCGCGGCCGACAGGTATTGCTCACGAATCGCATCGAAGAGTTGGCTGATGCTGAAGCCCTTCGAGATCATCAGCGTGGCGTAGTCGTAGTTGTTCACGAAGGCGGCGAGCCGCGCCAGGGACTGCTTTCCGCTCCCCCCGACCCCGACCAGCATGAGATTCCCCCGCGGCATCGAAAGCCCGCGGGAGACCCGGCAGACGTTCTTGAGCGCGGCCTCGAAAAGGACGAGGTTGAGCTTGCGAATCCGCCCCGCGGGGGTCTCGTTGTGGTTCTTCATCGCCGTCACCAGGGCGTCGAGGATCGCGCTCATCGAGGGCGCGGGCTCGTAGATCCGCGGCGCGGGCTCCGCCTGCTCGCCGGTTTCCGGGTCGTAGATCGGTTCGCGCAGGAAGTTCGCCATATACACCGGGGCCTGGACCTGCTCGACGAGGTGGCGGTACGGGGTCCCCGCCAGATGGGTCGCGATGCAGTCCTGGATATTGCTGTCGAACCACTTCTTGTCCTGCACGCTGTTGAGCTTATCGCTAAAGACGCGCGAGCACTCGTGCTTCCACACCTGCAGTAGCCGCAGCGGGTCGGTGATGATCTCCCACGGCTTACTCAGCGCGCGCTTCTCCGGGCGGTCGGGGTCGGCGAACATGCCGGCCAACATCACCCCTTGGGTGATGTTGGACAGGTCGCGCAGGTTGAAAAAGTAGTGAAACTTGTCCGGCGTCGGCAACATCCGCTTGACAATGGCCTCCCAGAAGCTGATCGACATCGTCGTCAGCATCCGCGCGACGTCCTGGACGCCCTGCGCGTAGTTCGCGGTGCAGAAGCGGCCTTCGTAGATGGTGCCGAAGATTTGCTGGATGTTGCTCTCCTCCGGCAGCGGGACGTTGAAGATGGAAAAGTGGCGTTTAAGGCGGTTGGGGATGTCGTTTTTGCCCCCGGAGGGGTGGGACATCGCGGCCATAAAATCCATCCCCTTCAGGAGTTTGTACACCCCGGGCTTGGACAGGTCGTAGACCTGGTTGAGCTCGATCACCTGGCGGACGATCTCGTTCGTGATTTGATCCCCCCACTCGTTGATCTCGGGCATGTTGATATCGTCAATGAAGACGGTCATGCCATCGCAATTCTTCGGGCCGTAGGTGTTGCCCATCTTCTTCTCGGTCATATCCTCCAGCGTGTTGTAGAAGTTCTGCGGCGTCGTCATGGAGGAGAAGTTGACCTTGCGGAAGTTTCGCTGATCGACGTTGGACTTCGCCTTGTCGAGAAACTTCTCCATCGTGACCGTCTTGGCGGTCCCGCTCACCCCGATCAGCAGCGTCGGGCGCATTTGGATGGAATTGCACCGCGTGAGGTAGTGCAGCCGGACCGATTCCGCGGTGGGAATGAAAAGCGTGGAGAAGTCCAAGCGGTCATCGCTCGGGTACTTCCACGGCTCGACGAAGTTCCCCCAGCTCTCCCAGTCCCCGGTCTTGCAATTGAGGGAGAAGTCAAAGATCAGATTGCCGTCCGGCGGCGGCAGGTGGCGGAATTTCGTCCGGGCGAACTGGTCGAAGCGGGCCCGCTCCTTCGTCTCGAGCATCCCGCCGAAGGCCCAGGCCATGGCAAAGGCGTAGATCTTCTCCACCAGCGTCTCGTTGACCGCGGTGCCCTCCCCGATCTCCTCCCCGAGGGCCACCGCGAGGTGAAAGGCGTTTTGCACGAGGTGGGCCGTGGAAGTTCGCATCACCGTTTGGCATTCCCGCGCGTAGAACTCCGCGATTTGGTCCGTGAGCAGGGCGCCGCCGGGGTCGCCGGTGGTGGAGACAAACATCGCCAACAGCCGCTCCGCGAGCTGCGGGGTGCAGACCTTGTGGACCCCCGCCGGGAGGGTCGTCCCATCGGTTTGGACCTTCGCGAGGAGCATCGACTCCAACACCGGGCGCCAGCCGAGGATGACGTCCGAGATGTAGACAATCCCCGCCCGCGAGACCGTCGCGGGCGACGCGTTCGCCAGATTCTCCATCTCGAAGCAGCACTTCATCGTATCGGTCATCTGGATGCGATCGCCGTTCGCCAGGGTGAGCAGCTTATTGTCATCGAGCACCGTGTTCAAGTTCTCGATCCAGATCGCGTCGACCGGGCCATCGCAGACGATCCAGACGTTCTTCTTCTTCGCCGCCCGGACGGCCTGGCGCCAGAGCGCGGAGAAGACGCCGTCATGCCAATCCCCCGACACGTCCACGCGGCCGAACATCTGCGGCGCCGTGATCGCCTTCGGGTTCATGCGGAGTTGTTGGTGCGGGACGGTGGTGCGCGAGAGAACATCCGTCATGGCGTTATAACACTGCGTCTTCCCGCACATCGCGGGGCCCACCACCATAATCCCATGCCGCACGAGTTTGGTCTCGTAGAGCTGCAGGACTTTGCTGACCCACGGGGTCCAATACAGCAGGCCTTTGCCCTCGACTAACTTCCTCAATTCGCCCTCGATCTCGGGGTGGGAGCCCTTGGCGGCCTGCCGGCCCGGGAACATATCCCGCAAGAGGGAGTCGAAGAGCTCGATGTCCTCAAAGACGAGCTTGGAGAGGTTCATGTCCCGCAGGGTGCGCATGAAAAGATCCTCCTCGTCTTTGCTCGGGTTCTTCCGCAGCACCGCGCCGGCGGTGCGCAGGACGGACAGGATGTTCCGCAGCCCGAAGTCGTAGTGCCGCTGCTTGGACAGCTGCTCCTCGCAGAGTTTGTAGAGGATGTAGAACTTTTTGCTCAGCAAGTCGTCCTTGCTATACCCCTGGGCCGCCAACTTCACCTTCATGATGGTTTGGCGATCCGGCACCATCATCGTCACGCCGCGGAAGAGAATTTTGAGGTTCTCCGGGAGCTCCTGGCGCCCCGCGTAGCCCGGGTTCATCGTGATAAAAAACCCCACCCCGGGCATCAAATCCGTCATCTGCCCGTCAATAAAGACAAAGCGCTCTTTGTGCTGTTTGAGGGCCTGCAGAACGCAGCTCACCTGCTGCGCGACGACGGACAGGACAGGGAGGTCGATTCGATTGAACTCGTCAAAGCATCCCCAGGCGTTTGCCTGGGAAAGCCCGCGAATAATCTTCCCCATCGCATGCCGATCGAGCTGGTCGGAGCAGTTAAAGACCACGCAGAACTTCCCGTAGGTCCGCGCGAGATCTTTGGTGGTTTCTGTTTTGCCCGTCCCGGCGGGGCCGGCGGGGGCCCCACCCATATACATCGCCAACGCCTGCGAAAGCGTAATATAGCAGCGATCGGTAAGCGGGGTAATCACCAGCCGTTCCTTGACGCCGAGGTATTCATTGCAGTACTCCGTATCGGAATCGGCGATGGAGATCAAGGTGAGGTCGCGCTCGGGTTTGTAGTAAAAGCGCGCCTGTTTAAGCCAGTCAAAGTGCGTGATGTCCTTAATCGACGCGCGCTGGAGCTCGATAAAGACCTCCTGCTGATGGACCTGGATGGTAATGAGCGTCTCGACGTTGGTGCGCATCCGCAGCGGCTTCTTCTCCAGCTCGGGCGAGGTGGTGAGGTTGACGAGGAAGTTCTTCACGGCATCGCATTTCGCCCGCGAGGCGGCGGATTCCCGCCCGCGGCTGCTCATAATCCCCTTGTGGATGCACTCCGTGACGTCGGCGGTCCAGAAAAACTGCAGCATCAGCAGGGAAACCTGCGCGGGGTAGCGATCGATAATCGTCCCGAGGTAGCTGGTGTTCGCCAACAACGTCCCGAGCTCGGTCACGCTGGCCTTGACGACCTCGCGGACGGTCACCGTCATCGCCTTGCAGAGCCGCGTGAGCCAATCCTCCACATTGCCCACGCAGGGGGTGGGCTCCCGCATCATCAGACTTTGGCCCTCACCGGAGGTCATCTCGATGATCTGCATGTAGGGCTGCGCGTTGGTTTCCTTCGGCTTCACTCGCTCGAAGGTCACCGCGGCGAGGCCGTCGAAAATCGAGGTCAAATGCGGCTGAATCGACTGCGGGTCGCTCGCCTGGGAGAGGATCTCCAGCAGGACCGTGTCCGACACGAAGTAGAAGCGCGGGAAGAGGTTGCGCTTCTGCTCCAGATACAAGGACAGCTTCCGCTGGCACTCGTCGAGCTGCTCCTTGAGGTTCGGGAAGTTCTGCAAAAGCTCGTTTTCGTAGCAAAACTCTAAGACGTTGGGGGTCTCGTTGGCTTTGTTCATGATCTTTTGCCATTGCTTGTCGATCATCGCGAAGCGCTTGGCCTCTTGTGGGAGCTGCTTCATGATATCCCCGCCGGCGAAGACGGCCTCCAAGTACTGCCAGGTCGCCTGCACTTCCGTCCATAAGGCGATGGATTCGCTCACTTTGACGAGTTTTTTCAAAAAACTTTGGATGGTGTCCCGCATAAACGCGCAATACCTCAGCGACAGCATCGAGTTCACCGCAAGCGAGGACTCCTCGAGGGCCTCTCGGATGGCGGTGGTGTCGTCCCCTTTCAGCACGATCGGGCCACGATGTTTGAACTCGGAGAAGTGAAGCTCCTGATCCTTCCAGAGCAGCTCCTGCGCGCGGAACTTCGCCTCGATCTCGGCCTCCCGCACCGAGGAGGTCGCGATATCCACCACCTCATCCACGACGCTGAGCAAATTCGCATCCACGAGGTCCTGCAGCTTGAAAAAGTCGGGATCGGTTCGCCATTTATGCCCGGTGACCTTCATAATCTCCTGCCAGTGCCGTTCCACCACCGCGGGGTTCTTTAGCTCCTCGATAATCGGCTGCAGCTCGATAAAATCGTCAATAATTCGCTTCAGGACTTTGTACGCGTCCCACTCCCGCAGGGACTTCGGCAGCCGCTTGCACTGGCTGACAAAGACGCTGACCTCTTCGCAGACCGCGTCGAAGTTGAGGTCGCACCAGAGGATGTCGTTATACCCGTTCACCTTCTGCAGGACGTTAATATAGAGCGTGTACAGCTTATCCAGCAGCTCAAGCTCTTTTTTGGTCTTGACGAGCTCGGGATATTTGTGCAAGGGCAGCCCAAAAAGCTCCTCCCCGGCCATCAAGGTGAGCCATTTGCGAAATTTGTCGTCGAACTGGCGTTGATAGCGCTTCAGGCGCTCCATCGCCTCTTGCGGGGGCAGGCCTTCCACCATCGGGCCATTCGCGTCGTAGTCGTTGCGAAAGGCCAGGACTTCCGTACCGAACTTCTGCACCTCCTGGGTGAGGCCTTTTTTGAAGTTAAACTGCATCGCGTTGATCTCATCCGTGCGCTGGCCGGCGGCCTGGTGGAGATTTCGCCATTTAAACCGCAAATCATCCACGCGATCGGCCTCCTCCTTCGGGATCACGTTCGAATAGCGCTGTAAAAGCGCATAGGCCTGCTGAATGGGATGGAATTGAAAGTCCACCAGCGATTCACGGTTGCGAATATCCTTCAAGGTGTTCATCAGGACTCGCAGCTCCTCGAGTTTGTCCTGATCCGGGAGGTTCACACTCAGCTGCCGCGATTCCTCCTCCATCCGCAGCGTGAGGGAGTCGAGTTTGTGTTGGGAGACGGCGTAGAGTTTGTTGATGTACATCTCCTTCCACTCCTTCGTGCGGAGCAGGATTTCGTCCTTGAGGGGTTTATTCCGCAAAGACATGCTGCCAATATTGAAAAAGGGCGGAAGATCCTGTATTTCATGCTCGAGGGCGACGAACATCTGAAGTTTCGCCTCGTAATCGTCGAGCACGGGGTCGGTCGCCAAAAAGGCGGTGTAGGTCTCGTTTTGGTTTTCCTTCCAGAGGCCCTCGTACTTGCGGAAATGCGAGAGGTACTCCATGACGTGCTTTTTCAATCCATGCACGCTGCCGGTGAGCTGCAGAACGACCTTGACGACTTCTTTATTTTTTGCGATGTCCTCGTGAAAGGACGAGTTCCCCGACGGGAGATCCTTCCAGCGCGTGATGTAGCGCGTGCAGGAGAGCACGGCGGTCGCGCACTGGTTAATCGTCCGCTGGACCTCGTCCAGGGAAGGGTTCAGAAAGACGTAGGGCTCCGCGTTGATGAGCTGGACATCGACGTCAAAAAAGGGCTTTTCCTGGAATAAAAAGGTCACCCGATTCTTCGTCCCGACGCGCTTTCGCAGCAGATTCAGCGAGCGCGTGGTGCAGGTCAGAATCGCCTTGAGCATCAGGTGGCTGAAGTGGCCTTTGAGGGTGGTGACCTTCTCCTGGGTCTCGCGGTCCTGCTGTTGGAGGTGGTAATCCACGAGGCTGGTGCTGGCGTCGGGGCTGGAGAATTGCCCGCTCATCGGCGACCCCGTCATGTCGCTTTCCTTGCCCTTGAAGAGTTCTTTGCTGCCCTTTAAAATGGCGTTGATGACGTCGTCGACGGCGCTTTCGATCTCGCGGTTTTTGATATCCATCGCCTCGCACTGCTGGCGGATAAAGCGCTCCTGGAGCTGGACGAACTGGTCGAGCGAGAAGTGCTCCTCGAAAAGATTCACCAGGAGCATCCGGGAGACCGTCTTGAGGTTGCACTGGATGCGATTGGCGATGATGTCGTTGATTTTGGCCACCAACGCGTCGACGGCGTCGATGGCGGCGCGGACGCGCTCGAGGTAGGCGTCGACGTTCATCGAACTCCACGTCAGCGTCGTCTCGCCTGGGCGGAAAATCGCATCCAAGGCGTCGATGATGGGCTGCAAAAGCGGGCGGGTGATGCCGATGATTTTGCACCGCTCCCCTCCGGGCCGGCCCACGACGTGCTCGTACTCCCGTACGAGGTAGTTGAGCTCGTTGTAGAAGGTGTTGAGCTTCTGCTCCTGCAAGGGCAGCGTGCGAACGGCCGCGGGGATCTCAATATCCCCTAACAACATCAGCGCGTGGGTTTCCTTAATCAGCTGCGGGATCTCGTTGTCGAAGTTCACGTAAAGCCGCCCCTCGTGGCGGACAAGGAGGGTCGCCTTCAGGCCCGCCTTCTGCGATTCGATCGACCGCTTCCACGCGTCCACCCAGATCGCCTCGAAGCCGAGCAGCGCGATGGAGACTTTGTTGTAGGTCCGGATGATCTTCTTGCTGTCCTTTGTGTTCGCCATGACGGTGCGGTTATCCTTAAAGCGATCCATCGGGCCTTTGATATGGCGAAGAAGCTGCCGGGCCCAGCTGATCGCGCCCGCCACCGGCGTCGTATTCCGCGCGATCGGCGGGTTCGCCTTGCACCGCTCGTAGGTCTTCTGATCCTTCTCTAATTCCAGGCCATAGCTGTGGAAGATAACGAGGTACTTCGACTCCAGGTCCGCCGCGAAGGTCTCGGACTGCAGGATCATTTTGTACTTGCTCAGCAGCATCAGCGCCTTTTCCGTCGAGGTGATGTTCTCGAAGGAGGAGTTGATCGCGACCTGCATCGACGTCTCCAGCTCGACCAGCCGCGTCTCGAAGATTTTGAACTCGACGTCGAACTTGTTGTTGTCGTGGATGTCGAGGATGTCGGTGGTCTTGCCGCGCAGGTGCCCAAGGTAGTCCTCAAACCGCGGGATCAGGCTCTCCATCGCGTCGATGTGGTAGTCTCGCAGCAGGGCGAACTGCTCGACCTTGCGAAAGACCATCAACAGCTTATCCACCCGCTTAATAAAGAGGTTAAAATGCCCCATAAAGCGAAGCTCGTCGAAGTCGAAGAGCCGGCTGCTTCCCTGGCTCTCCAGGATGTTCTGCGCCTTGCGGTATTCCGAGACGTAGACCTCGTTGAGCCGGATGTTCATCTGCAGAGGCTCCAAAATCTGCTTGAGCGAGCTCTGCGTGTGGATCATATCCCAAATCCGCGCGCGAATTCCGGACGGGTTGATCGCCCGTTTACACGCCAACACGAGCGCGTTTGTGATTTTAAAAAACAGCGCCGTCATGTGCTCTCGCGTAGGGTAATAGCAGGCGATGGTGAACATCATGCGGATATTCGAAATGAGCGGCGGGAGCACGTTAATGATATCGCCGAGATTAGACGTGTATAATACATCGATGTGTTTATCTAAGGATTGGAGGTATTTCACATTCTCGCGGGCCTCCGCGAGGGCCTCGGTGAGCCGGACGTCCATCTCCCCCCAGGTCGCGACGAGGGGGCTGTGGACTTTGCGCAGGTACTGAATCGCGTGGGGGGCGGCGACGCGGTCGAGCTGGGTCTCCACCAAATGCAAGTAGGCGAGGCGCTTCCGCCAGAGCTCGACCTCCGTCCGCGGCCCCGCCGCCTCGTCGAGGAGCTCCGCCTCGTAGTTCGGCTGCTGCCCGACGACCTCGTTGACGACGTCGATCCACTTCTGCACGGCGGCGGTGAGGGTTTGGGTGAGCTCGGCGTCGTAGCCGCCCCCGCGGCGCGGCATCCCCCCGCCCTGGAGCATCTCCCACGTCTTCGCCGCGAGCCCCTCTAGCCGGACGGGCTCGCTGTGCAGCCGCTGAAGCTCCGCCACGCGATCGGCGTAGCGCCCGAGGCTCGCAATAAAGTGATTTCGCGCCTCCGGGGTGTTATCCCCCCAGGCCTGGAGCCGGCTCAGGAGGGGGGTGTAGACCTCCGTCAGGAGGTGCTCGTAGCTCGTCAGGACGTCGGCGGGGAGCAGCCCCATCGTCAGGTCGCCCACCGCCTGGGCGACGTCGCGCAGGCCGATCCCGCGGCGGGTCCGCGGCCGCAGCACGAAGACCGCGCGCCGCCGCAGCGGCGGCAAATCGCCCCCCGCCAGGTCGAAGACCCGCAGGACGTCCTCGGCGCCGTCCTTTTCCCCCTCCAGGGGCTGAAAGACAAACAACAGGGCGTGCGCGCCGCCCCCGAGGAGCATCCGGTGCACCGCCAGGAAGTTCGCCGAGGCCTCTGCGAAGTGCGCCGTGAGCTGCCGCTGCAGCGCCTCCGCCCGGGCGGCGTCGCCGGCGGCGAGGAAATCGCAGACCCGCGCGAAAAGATACTGATGCGTGGCGTCCGAGCGCACCAGGCCGCCCTCCTCCCCCGACGGGGCCTCCGCGGCGACCATCCGCGCGGCTTTTTCGCTTCTTTCCCGGGGGGTTTCCGCTTCGTTCGCGGACTTTTCCGCTTCGGTGGCGGGGCTTGGTGCTTCGGTGAAGGCGGCGCCGGTCTGTCTCAGAGTTGCCGCGGCGGTGGAGTCACGCGGGGAATACGGGGGGTTTCAACGGCACAAGACACAGCGGAGATGGGTGGATACGACAGGCCCCACACTGCGGCTTTTCTTTTTTTTCTTCTTTTTTTTTGTTTAAAAGTTGGGGTCTCGCTCTTTACAAGGAATGTATCGTAGCCAGGGGAACAGCTAAAGGAAAACTACTGAAATTAATAATCTAAGTAATGTAAAATCCCTCAAAAAAAAAAATCCGAGAAAATTTATGTTTTCACACACACACACACACACATACACCAAGAACAATTGGGGGGACTTCAACCACGACTGCTTGTTTCTCCTTAAAAAAAAAGCTTTTAGCCTCACTCTCTCGAGGAAGTAATTGGTTATATTTCTGAAAAGGGCCTAATTTGCAATCAACACACGTAATGCCCAAGATAGGAAAAAAACGAAGCAAAAGGAAAACAATGACGACAAACATAATCATAAAAAGACCCCTCATAGAACGTAATAGGGGTCCATAACGAAAACCCACACACCAGAAAACCATCCAACTGAATTACGCAAAGGAATAATTTTTTACTTCTATTCGAAACGGGTGAAACCATGAGCATCAAGCCTTCTGAAGGTGCTTCCCCTATCCTTCCTTGCCAAAAGATATAAATATTGAGGGGAAGGAATCGGACATGCCTGTGAACCTGAGGAAGAACTTCCTTTATTCATTGCATTTTTTTTTTTTTGAATTAATGATCATAGAGGGCGATAGGGCACTTCCTTATCGGCCGCTAACTCATATGGCAATGATATTCCCACAGGATTGCAGAACGATCCGCCTTTGCCAAAAGTCACCGTGCTCGGTAGCGATGAGAAGATAAAGAACGACATACAAAAGAAGAAAAAGTGCGTTTTTCTAAAATTTATATTGTCAGGGTTCATCCCCTCTCCCCCCCCCGCTTCTACGTTTGGAGATGCGCACCTCTAATGCCTCCAATCATCCCCGTTTAAACGTCTGAGTTTAATCATCCCAACAGCCGGAAAGCCTTCAGGATGCTTTAATATAGGTCATCTAATTCCAGGTATCCCTACAACATCGCCGAAATTCAAATAAACGTGCTGCTTATAAATCCAAACTAACGCAGTTCACACACGTATGTTTTCATCCAACAACGCACATGGTTCAATTAGACCTACCTAAAACGTAAAGTCTGATAAATAGGAGGTGATCCTCGGATTTTTTCCCTTTATTTGATCACAAATAAGAGATCTACGCTACTGTGGAATGTTGAGGGAAAATGATAAGTAATAGCAATAACCAAAAAAAATAGCAAAAGGGAAAAAATGTCTTTGTTGTGAGCTGGAATAATGTCTGGATTGTACGTTCAGATTCCATAAAAAAACAGAATAAACCTCTTTCCTACAGCGTAATATGGTATCCCTTGAGATTATACTGGGAAATCCAATCCATGGGGTTTCCACTCTGAATTTAAAGAATCGACTCTCTTGTATAGCGTCACCTTTCGCTGGTGCTATAATTCAGCCTTATTTTGTAATCCCAACCCATATACGTATATCTGTCTAAAAGCGCCATGATCTATGTTCGCTGGCATCCGCGATCAGAAATTTTAATTTTCCTCCTCCCCCTTCATCATCATCATCATCTTCTTTTTTTTTATATATATATGTTTGCCCAAGGCGTTAGAAGTTTCGGATGTAATCGGACCCCTCGCAGGCCTTGTACTCCTCAATCAACGTGTCCACCACCTCTCTGGAGTCCTTGAATTCCTCCATGCTTTCTTTGGTCGGGCCGTACTTGCGGTATTGATCGAGAAAAACCCCCCGCCCGAAGAGCGTGTCGAACTGCTTGAGCGTCCGCTGGAAGAGGGTGCGGATGCTGGTGTGATTGGCCAAGACGAGCCCGCTCACGCGATGCCGCGTATCCAAATAGGGCGATTTTCTTGACAGAATCACCTGAATCGAGGCCGGCCCCCAGGGGATAAAATTCGGCGAGCGCTCGCGAATCCGCTCGAGCGAGCGATGCACCTGCGCGGGGTCGACATCGCCCTGGATGAGGTTCAGAAGCGAGATATAGCACCCGCTCTTCATCGAGGTCGAGACCATCATATTTTTCGGCAACAAAAGCCGCCGCATAACATCATGCACGGAGGTTTTACGCACCGCGGATTGGATATTCGACGTATCCAACGTGGTCGGGGTATAGCCGGTGCAGACAAAATGGCATCGCGGGGTGGGAATCAGCGAGGCGAGCATGCTCAGGAGGTCGTTATTCATATACCCCGGGTACCGCAGGGTCGCCGTTGAGGCCGCCATCACGGTACTCACCAGGCCGTTCATCTGCTCCACCGTCGGGGAGGGGATGTGGAGGTTGTCGGTGACCAGGCGGTTCAGCGCGGTGTTGTCCAGCACCACCACACAATCCGCGTGCAGCGTCAGCCGTTTAATCGCCAGGACGCTGTTGTAGGGCTGCACAATGACGTCGCTTTCCCCGCCCCGGGACTGGTTGGGGAAGATGCTGTAGGTCTGGGTGAGCTTCTTGGGAAAGCGGTCGTTGAGGTTCTCCAAAAGGTAGCTGCCGATCCCGCTCCCGGTCCCGCCCGCGATGGAGTGGGTGAGGAGAAAGCCCTCGAGGCTGTCGCTGTTCTCCGCCTCGCGCTCGATCATGTCGAAGAGCGTCTCCTGAACCTGATCGCCGAGCTCGTAGCCGTGGGACCAGTTATTCCCCGCCCCCCCGCCCTCGGGGTGGATGAAGACGTTCTCCGCGTTGAAAAGCTTCTGCATGGCGCCGCGCTGGATGGCGTGGACGACGCGCGGCTCCATGTCGATCAAAAGCGCCCGCGGGACGTAGTGGTCGTCGTCGGCCTGGTAGAAAAAGACGTCCTTGCGGTCATCGCCGCCGACGGCGAAGGGCTCGACGACGCCGTCCAGGCGAATCCCGTGCTCGAGGCATAACTGCCGCCAAAACTCACTCCCGACCTGATTCCCACACTGCCCGGCCTGCAGCGTGATGATCTCGCGCGGCATCGCCGAGTTCGCCCGCAGGGGTTAATGATATTCCCACAATTATGAATAATATTCGCAATACTATTATTAGTATTCGCAGTACTATTAATAATATTTATAATATTCGCAGTAATATTAGTGGGATTCGCACTATTCACAGTAGTACTACTAGGGTTGTGGTTGGCGAATGTCCTGGGATTTGGCGTGGAGGTCACAGATGTGGGGTGCCCGCTTTTGGCGAAATGGGGGGGTTTCTATGGATGTGGGTCTATGTGGGGTTTGTGTGCAAAATACTAGAACGAACTCAGATAAGCGTTGGATGTAGAAAAAAAAAAGATGAAAGGAGTTTTTTTTTGTACTTTAAAGGCAAACAACCAAACGGCTCGAAGTTAATATCACAAAACATAAACAGGGTGGATTGCGTGTATGGCGATATGCATGGGGCTCATACATTTATTGACGAGCAAGCTTAAGAAAGTAACTTCATTATCCTGTTATTGCTTTTTGTAGAGGTTTCCCTTCTTCCACCCCCTTTGATTAAAAAAAAAACATTAGTACACGCTTTTTCTCCTGGAGTGTATGCCCATTTTTTATTCCGCAGATAAAGGCATTTATTCAAAAGGCTATAAGGTAATATACACACAAACAAGTAAAAGAAGGAAACATAATTCGCCGCATCGCACCCACTATCCATCTGGAAAGTAAAGATACCGCCGAAGGAATCATCTTATTTTCGATAACATAGTAATGGGGCTACGGAGTTCCCCAGTTCCAGTGGGTTCCTGCTGGTTTAATTCAAAAACACCGTTTGATTTCCCGCCGCCGTCTTCGCCGCTTCCAATTTTTCATCCCAACAATCCCTTAACGCGTGCAGGGAGGCCAAATCACCATCCTGCGTGAATTGTTCTAACAGCCGCCGCGCTTCTAAACGATCTTTGCGCAGTAGTGTTTGGGTTTCCTCCACGATGGCGACCTGCTCGATAAACGCGGCGATGTCTAAAATCAAGGAAACCCCACATCGCTGCTCCTCCAGCGAAAGCCGACAATAGGCCTCGCCGGTGCGAGATCTAAGGTCTTGATGGATATCTAAAAGATACCCCGCGCGATGCCGCTCCGCAATACGCCGGCGAACTTCATTCTGTGTTTGTCTTTGCCAAGAAGAGGAGGGGGATGCTATTAATTCGCCGCTAGGACTCTTTTGCGGCGCGCAAGATATGGGTGTTTGTTCGTCGTCCGCTGTTCGCTTTTGGGTGGTGTCGATGACGTTTAGACATTCTTCTAAAATCGGAATCGACACAACAGGGGCGAGATCGGCGGAAAAAACGCGACAGAAGCGCTCGAAATCGGGATTACAACCGATAATGCCCCATTCCGCTGCTATACAACCTTCAAGAACATCCGCAAAGGGCTTTATCCGTGATTCGTCTTGCCCTTCCGCGCCGGAAGAATGCGAAGAAGACGAGTCGTTCCGCATCGATTGAAGGCGATCGCGAAGGATAAAAAGACGCATCAGCCGCTTTCCCCCCTCCCAGGCGGCTTTTTCCAGTGGAGGAAGCATCCCCTGGGGTGGTGGGCGCAGTAGCCCCTGCAGCACCCCTTCGGCGGTGGTATGAGAAAAAATATCCACCAGGCGATCGTCGGGTGCATTCCGGTCGTTGTTTTGCGATTCCGACGCCTCAGGGCCCCACGCAAGCCGCACCACCGTTAGTTCGTCCATCTTTCGCGCCCATTCGGGGGCGTCGTCGATGGCCAATTCGAGATATTCCCCCGAAGACGCGGCGGACCGCCGGCCTAACCACTCCCGCAGGCGTAAAGAATAATAAAAAGGGAGGACGTCATTTAACCAACGCCGCGATGTTGTATTAATTCGCGCAAAACGCCCCTCGTTTGGATGAGCAATGGCGTTCGAGAGAATGCGATGGAGAATGGTAAAAGACGCCTCCACCGCGGCCACATCTAACCGCCCCCGCACCGAGGGGTGGAGGCAATCAAAGAAGAGGAGGGGCGTTTCCGCCTTATCGCGTTTATAAGCCTGGGATGGCGGCATTGTTAATGCATCGGGAGGGGAAAAAAAGCCTTTTAAAAGGAACGCCTTGTTTTTCCCCCCTTTTAGAAGAAGTTATCTTATTGTTCAAATTTTCCTCTCCTCTTCTTTCCTTTTTTTTGATTTCTTGTCGTTTTGCAAGAAAAAAGGAGATAGGGAGTGATGGACTCTGTACGGAGAAAAGTAATATGGATGTGGGGATGAAAAGAGGTACCTTTCATGCTTTTTAGCAAACAGCTGTATTTGCTATAGAGATTTGTTTAAAAATTATCTTTTCTAAGTTTACATCTTGTGAATTTTTTTTTAAAAGGTGGTGGGGCCGGGTAACGTAAACGAGCGGATTTATCCCTTTATCGTTATTATTTATTAACCCATTCCTTGTCCTTTCCCGAGGTTGTTAAGTTGCTCTTGCAGCTCAAGCCGAAGCTTTTGCGATGTCGAGAACAAAAACTGAAAGGGTTCCACGCATTCATGACGAAGCTTTCCACTGCTCATCGCGTAGCGAGCATACTTTTCTTGTTCTTCACCGGACATAAACGCCTCAACGGGGATCTCCCCATCGTTTAATAAACCAAGCGTCTTCTCCATATCCCCTTTGCTCACACCAGACGAGGTATGGGGTTCCTTCACTAAGGCCGTCGCCTTCGAGAGGTTCCAGCGCTTAAATGAAAACCCGCAAGGGGGCAGACCCGCAGCTTGACGCGATTCCTCGGCCGGGATCACTTCGTCGTTTTCGCCTTTGGCGCCCTGGGCTAGGCTGTCCGTTAGACGGGCTCGCCGGCGCCGTCCAAAACTCACCACCCCCGCTGACGCCCGGCGTTTCCCCCCTCCCTTTCTGCCATGTGGCCTACCATCACCGTTGTTCTTATCATGGCTTTGCGCGGGCGGGGTGAGGACCTCGTCGCGGCGGCGCTTCTCGCCCCCGTGAAGGAAAGTCGAATACTCGCAAAGGCCGTGGAGGAGCCGCAGAAGAGGCTCCATGGACGGCGCCTGCTCCTTTTGACGCCGCGCCGCGGGAGGGGTGGGCGTGTCTTTCGGGACGGCCTTTCCTTCCGCGGTGTCATGGTCGATCGTGCGAAATTCGCGTGGAAAGGGGCTCAATAAAGTTTTCCGCAGCCGCCGGAGGCTCTGCTGCGCGGCGGTTTCTACCGGGGAAAGAATGGGGCTACGGCTTTCCTCCTCATTTTCAACTTTTGTTGGGTTGGCCGCGAGCACTCCGGGAGGTTGGAATTCCTCTGTTTTATCGACAGAAAGATGCGCACTGCTCAGGCAGGAATCCCTTGCAGGGGCCTGTTCCGCCTTTTGTGCGATTACGACATCATTCTTTACGTCGCAATGCGCGTTTACTTCTTCGGCTGTCTTTTCCTCCCTTTTTTCTCCCTCTTTTTGATCGATATTGTCTTTGTCGTCGTCTTGAACATCAGCCTTGTTAATTTCCCGAGAAGGATGTTCATTTTCGCTCTGTGGGGGATCTAAAGACATGGGGGCTTCGCTACTCACCAGAGTGGTAGTCGTCGTATCTTTGTTCACCTCCGGCACCACCAACACGCAGTTTGTTGAATCACCCTGAGTTGTTGTTTTCTTTTCATCAACCACTTTATTTTCACAATTCTTCAAATCCACATCAGAAAATACCCCATCCGGTTTGCACCACTCTTCATATGGATTTACTTCATAACACTCTCTGTCACCATCTAAGGTACCAGCACCCAGGCTTTTCTCCTCCCATGTTTTTCGGTTAGGCACTCCAAGAATCATTTGTACTGATTGGACTACATTCGGATTTTCATTTTCGCTTCTCGTCGAGAAAGATTCCATTTCTACATCCTCGTCTTCCGTGATACTTTCCAATATCGCCTCACTGCGTTCACGCCATTCCACAGCGAACGTCCCCGACGTTGTGAAAGGTCGGTTTAAATCATCATAAGGAAGGCTTTTTCTTTCACTATCCATCCTACAATTTCGTCATGGATGGATTTCTTACATCAAAGGATAAATTCAAAAGAAACAAGAGCAAACGATAGGTAAAGGGAAGCATATGGGAGTAGAGCGTCATGAAGAATAGAACGCCGTGGATTTAAGCACAATAATAAAACCCTTCGAAGCAAGCGATTTGTCGATTGATTATTGGCGGGAGGGAAGCTTTTTTTTTGCTCTTCATCCCTTCTGTAAATGTACATTCAAACTACAGATACAAATAAAAAATAAAATACAATGTCTCCTCTTTTCCCAGAAGAATTCAAAGGTTGCACCTCAAAAGGTGATGAGATGTTTCCGTTATCTTTTCACCCCCTCATATGCATCCAGAGAATATATATATATATATATATATATATAATTTCGTTTTCTTTTTGATGTAAAAGCGAACTACTTCCTTCTTTGCCATATTATTGTGAGGCTGCGAAGGATTGACTCGCGAGTGGCATACAAGCAATCCGATTGATTTCGTCCAGCTGCTCGCGCTGCTGTAGGCATTTCGCCGTTTCACAGAAATCCTCTACACGTTGGCGTAATTTCTCATGGATGCTCTCCACACACCTCTGAGGAATCAACTGCACCTGGTTAAATTCCGATTCCTCAATCAGCATCGAGACGAGTGAGGCATGCCCGCAAAGCGCGGCGAGATCGAGCGCGCTAAAGCCATTACGATCCACCACCGAAAGCTCCGCCCCGCATTCGTCCAAGAGCATCCGGACGACCTCGATATTCCCGCAGATGGCGGCTAGCAGCAACGGCGTCCTCCCTGTCGCGGCGTGGGGGAGGTTCACCAGACGCTGCGCCCCCGCCCGCCAGGTCGGCGCCCTTCGTCGTGCCCCTCCCCTTATGGCGTTTTCGCCTCTTGTGCCATCTCTTGTGTGATCTCCTGTTGTGTCACTTCTTCTTGTGTCACTTCCTTTTGTTGTGTTATCTTTTGTGTCATTTTCCCCTGTTGGGTCACTTCCCTTTATGGTGTTCTCCCCTCTTGTTGGCCTGTCCTCCCCGACGAGCGGGGAGAGGAAGAGCAGGGTGCGGACCAGCGCGGGGTCGCCACCCCAGACCGCGCGGTGCAGGCTGCTGAAGCCGAGCCCGTCCAGGGCGAAGATCGAGGCCCCGTTTGCGAGCAGAAGGCGGAGGCTGGGCAGGCGGCCCAGGGCCAGGGCCCAGTGCAGGGCCGGCAGGCGGTGCACCCCGTCCGCGCTGTTCGCGTTGCGTGGCGTCAAGTGCGCGAGGAGAAAGCCGAGGTCCCCGTTGATCACCGCCTCCAGAATGGCGTTCAGCCCGAGCGGGTTCTCAACGGTGTTACTCGCGAACTTCCCCTCCGGCATTCGCGGTCTATCAATACTATATGTTTATATAGATATAGATAAGTATAGGTAGATTCTAAGGGAATCTAGACGAAATGATGGGAGAGAATGAGTGTGTGTAGATAAAAAGGAAAGACCTCAAGCAAATAGACACACACACACACAAATATCTACCTACCTACTCATCAACCTATAAATAGGTAGGTAGATTTTTATATAAAGAAACAACTTAACATACATATATATGATTTATCAAATTAGTTTCACTGCAAAAACATAGGTGAAAAAACAAAGGCACTTCTGATATTATTCCTTTCGTTTTTTTTTCTATACGGGGTGTAATTTCAATATCGAGTACGTTCCTAATAAACACAACTCAATGTGCATATTATTTGATGAACTTTTTCACATATTGAATTCAAATATTGGATGTAGGATTTTTTCTTTCTTTTTGATGTAATAATGGTTTACCCTTCTATTATCATTATTGTACATGAATAGGCTCTCGTTTATACTTTTTATTTTTCAAAATTATATTGCAAAAAATGTTATAGCACTCTCTGCGAGCGTATACATTGATCATGTGAAGCAGTTATTGAGCTTTTAATAGTATATCGCCAAAGAGGTATACCCCTCCTGCTTTCAATAAGCAGTGAAATTAACGAGGGAGAGGAGTGGGTTAGAAACGATGCATACTAAACTTACATTTACCTAACAACAAAATAAAAACATCACGTACATTCAGGGTAATACACATACAATACTGGAAAGAGTCTATTATCCTTCCAACAAACTTGATGTAAAGAAAGTGGATGATAGAGAGGTGTATTTGATAATAAAAAAGGGAAAAATAAAACGCTCTCACACATGCTATATCTGAAATGAAACTTCTCGATACGTTAATGAGGATATATGAGAAGTAAAGGGAGTACACATCTTCACATGTAAAACAAAATCTAGAGAATAGTGAATCTATCATGCTATTTCAAAACCTGAGAACAGGGTGAAAGAAGCCAGTTCTCGTATGTTAAGGATTTTCTATTTTTCTATGTCTAGTTAGAATCCCCCACGACCTTCATTAATAGGATGTTGCACACTGGCTGATTTCTCGACCGTGATAAAGGCACTCATATCGGCTTTCGATCCTATACTTCAACCGCTTTGAGACCTCGCGCCCTCTTTTTTTTTCTTCCCTTTTATCGATTATGCTACACAACCGCTCTTTTTCCCACTATTTGTTCACTCAGATCTCCTTCTTGAAGGGCGTATTCGCCGTCTTGTCAGGCTGCCGCGCGGTGGCTTCCGTCGCCGTCGGGGGCATTGGCAGCATGGAGATGTACTTGGGCACCGCCGGCGTTGGCCTTTTCTTCTTCCCCGACCGCCCCTCCGCGGGGGCTGAGAATGCCAAGGGCGAGGCCGAGGCCGGCGGATGCAGCTGCGGAAGTTGCGTCGGCAGGGCTGGGATTGACGGGGGCTGCGTGTGGGAGGGGGGGCGGGGGAGGAGGCGCCTCCACAGGGACCTGCCAGGTGACGTAATGGCCGTACGGCAGCATCGCCATCATCGGCACAAAAGACGACGGCATCGACGCCGATCGTAGGCCGAGCTGAACCTGCGGCTGCGGCGGAAGTTGGGGCTGGAAATGAGCCTGCGGCTGAGATTGGGGGTGGGGGTGAAGTTGGGACTGGAAATGAGGATGCG